GTAACCATTTCGTCGCTGAGCAACCTGATGATAGTAACATGTTTGGCAGCCCACACTGGGCTCGCCATATGAAGGGCCGTACTGTTTATCAGACAACCTTCGATCAGGGTATGCTCGGTTTAATTGATAAAAAGTCCGGGTTACCAATCCGAAAACCAACACAACTGGTGAGTTCCAGTGACGTAATCATTCGCCGGTTTGCTGATTTGAAATGCAAAGGCGCGCCTCAGTCGAGTGCAGCGGTTAGTCACAAGAAGCGTTTTAGTGTCAGCATTTGCGGTCATGAAAGTCTTGCATCAAAAGGTTGTGACATGAAAGTGTGGTCGTCAGCCTTTTGTGATTTGTTGGCCCAGGGCATTGTGGAATGTCTCATGCAGCCTGCGCGTGGCCAGGCAATGTTTCCCACAGTGGAGAAGGTAAAATGTCCTGGCTGCCGTTGGCATAAACGCAAGGATCATCCGTCTCATGACAGGTCCGAACATTGCAAATTTCCCGATGTTGCTGCTTCCAAGTGGACTTGTGCTGGATGTGTTAAGAATAAACCTAGGGGTGATAAGACTCACACCTTAGATGAAAATTGTCAATGGAATCTAGCACGTGTGATGCCAGAAGGTTTAGGCCGTGAAAGAAAGGGTGGCCACCCTCGCGATGTGCGAGTACCCACGGCAGCTGAACCTACAGCTTCACTTGATGAGTCCAGGATTCGAGCAGTGGGAAGTCGTGAGATGCATCCAGAAGATGCTGAAGCGCTACGTGCAGCGGCGGAACGCGCCCAGCGTGATACGGATGTGCAGCCTCTACGCGTCAGACGTGCTAATCCGTCGTCCTCCACAAATGCTGGTCCCGGTAGGCGGGATGCCGAAGCGCAAGCGTCGGATCCCGGAGTGGGTGTGAATGCACGGTTGAGGGATCCCGCTGAGTCGCGTGAAGGTGCACCAGCTCCAGGCGAAGGTGTTGACGATGGCGCACCCGCAGCGGGTGAAGCAGCAGATGAGGATCGATGGACTTCGTTTGATTTGGGACGGGCCCTGATAGATCTCAGGTCGGTTCGTGAAGGCGTAGTCCGAAGAGCGCTACGCAAATTACATATCAGGTGGTTCCATGCGTCTGCACAGAAGATGAAAACCTTGCTAACCGCAGCAGGCGTTCCACAAGACATAATGCTGTTGGTACAGCAAATCGTTGATACCTGTGACATATGCCGAAATTGGTCCAAACCTGGACCTCGCACAATCACCAGTTCCACAATCACCACTCGTTTCAATCAAGAAATCCAGGTTGATCTTTTGTTCTTCAAAGACAAAGTAGTTCTCCACATGATTGACCGAACCACCAGGTTCACTGTAGCGCGTCGCATCGTTTCTAAACATCTTGATTCTGTCCTCGAAGGAGTTGTCAGTCACTGGATTTCAATGTTTGGACCTCCTTGTAAAATTACGTCGGATCAGGAAGGAGCTTTCTCATCTCCCGAGGCGGCTGCTGCTCTGGAGGCAAGAGGAATCAAGTTACATTTGTTGGCAAAGGAGCAGCACGCTTCTATTGTGGAGCGACATCACGCCATATTGAGAAGGCAGCTGCATGTTCTCGATGAGCAAGCTACAGCTGAGGGTTTGAAAGTGTCGTTCGATGCTTTGCTCGCCGATGCGGTCTTCGCTAAGAATGCTTTGTTCTCCATGGGTGGTTCGTCTCCTTTTGAGGCAGTGTTCGGCCGTACACCGCCGCTCTTAGGAGTAGTGGATGCCGAAGCAGGAGATAATCCAGACGACCGTGATTGTGACCGACTTAGACAGCTTGCCATAGACAGTATGGTGCAAGCTACTGCTGAAAACAAAATGCGTAGAGCTGATAGGGGGAAAACCCGTATGCCTGGTGAACTCCTTGATCTTAAGGTCGGCGATGCGGTAGAATTTTATCGCAAAGCAAGTACTAAGGATGCGCATTCGTGGTTTGGTCCAGCCACTGTTGCCGATCTGACATCGGTTCTTGATGGACAAATTGGCATCAAGTGGCAGGGCCGGCTTATGCTTTGCAGAGTCCAAGACGTGCGAAGGGCGCTTTTGTTTTGGTGTTTCATGACAATGCTGCCTGCAGATTCGCCGGTGGCATATCTTTGTGCGGCGGCCGAGGATGCACGTGGAGATTCTATTAGATTAGGTTGGTTTAGGTCTAAGGAATCGTGGTTGGCGTGTGAGGCCAATAAGAGATTTCCTAGGGTTTTACTGGCCGGTCTTCACGTGGGTTCTTGTGCGCTAAATCTTAGTGGAGTGGTGTCGTTTAGATTTGGCTCGTGTTTGCAGTCATTGCCAGCCGTGACATGCGATGATTCCTTTGTTCTGTGGTGGCGTCACGGCCACCATGAAGTCTGGCATCATGCATACTTGCCCGGAACACAGCACATTAATGTCGCCAAACTCGCAGGTACCTGTGACGTTGCATTGGTACAGTTCTTTTGTGTTGATTCCGAGATTGTGGCGTCTTTGAGACAAGTCGTTCACGACGTTCCAAACCTTGGCGGTCCCTTTGATCCCACGCTGCCTACGCTCGAGGATGTAACTGCAGAGGTAAGTCGCAGGAGGCAGAGGCGTCAGTTAGCCTTGGAGGATGCCGCGGCGCAATCTTCACCACAGCGCTTTGACATCTACACTCCTCCTGTAAGTAACAGCGATCTTGCATCAGATTCTAACATGGAGTCGGAGCCTGAAGACTTTGAGAGTGCTCAAAGCATGTTCGCTCACTTCGCAGTTCATCCACCAACAGTTCTTGTCACGGAAGCTCCTGAGGACGTGTTTGTCTTCACAACAGATGAGCTGTCCACGAGTGGACCCGAAATTGCATTTAGTAGTGCCGTGACTAAGTATCTAGTTACCTGCAAGGTTCCGGTTCAAGTAGGGGATTTGTTGGTTTTCAATGTGGGTAGCGATGACGCAGTGATCGAGCGAACCCACAATGTTCTTTCGCGTCAGGAAGCTCTTGCGAATGCAGATGAGTGCCGCAAATCCATGTTGAAAGAGCTGGCACGTTGGCATAATCACAAAGCTTGGGCACGTACTCCGCGCGAGCAGTGCAACAACATTCTTACCAGTAAATGGGTTCTCAAGTGGAAACAAATTGAGGGATCGAAACAGGTCAAGGCTCGTATGGTTGTTCAAGGGTTTAAAGATTTACAGGAAGTTAAGAGTTTCGCCGGAACAACCACACGTTGGGCTCAAAGGTTGGTGATTGCAATTGCCGTGCAGTTCTCTTGGCCGATTTACTCGGCTGATGTTTCCGAAGCATTTCTGCGAGGATTGAGTTTCAAAGAGTTGCATGCTTCTGGCGAGGATGCTGTGTTGCGCAGCGTGCAGCTGGAGCTACCGGCCGGTAGTGTGGAGCTGTTAAGAACCTTGCCAGGCATGTCAGATTTTGATCCGCAAGTAGAGTGCTTGAACATGTTAAAGCCAGGTTTCGGACTAAAAGATGCACCACGGTTGTGGAATAAGGCTCTAAAAAGGGTGCTTGCTGAGATAGGACTAGTAGCCATCAAAGTAGACGAGCAATTGTATGTGAAGCATGATTCTCAATCCGTCCTTGTGTTAATCTTAAGTGTTCATGTTGACGATTTGAAGTTGGCCGGAATAGATGCTGAAGTCAAAAGAACCTTAAAAATTTTAGAGCATCATTTCGATCAACTAAAGTTGGATCGCGATAATTTTGAACACCTTGGACTTAAACACACCTTGTCTGCTGATGGAAGCAGGTCTGTGTCTCAAGCGCACTATGTATCGGAGCTCAAACCGATACCCGACAAAGATCTCAAGCTGCAGGATCCCAAGACTCCTGTGGATGACAGTGTTCACGACAAGTTCAGATCACTGCTGGGTGGCGTAGCCTGGGTCACTCAGACGCGGCCTGATGTCGCGGTCTTTGTGTCAGCTTTGCAACGTAAGATGAAGGCGCCCACAGCAGGGGATGTCATTAATCTCAACAGGGTCTTGAAGTATCTAAAAGTGAAACCGCTTGATGTGGTTTATAAGAAGCTTGAGGGTCCATGGGCTATCATTGCGATTTCAGATTCGAGCTTTAAGAGTGAGGATCAAGAACATACGGCAGTGCGTAGCGGAATCATCGCGCTTACGAGTCGTGCTGGGCCTTGTGTCGGTGTCAATAAACTTCAGGTCTTAGAGTATGTCTCGAAAAAGCAGTCGAAAGTTTGCCGCTCCACGTATGCGGCAGAATTGCATTCCGCGCTCGACTTGATGGGTCTTGCAACCATCATAAATTCCGCCATGACCGAGATCCTGACGGGTCCCAAAACGGCAGTTGAGCTGGCACGGATTCAAGACAGCGGTGAGAATGCTCTCAAGCTGTTTCTTATTCTTGATGCCAAGTCCGTCGTAAGCGGGGCTGTAAGCGAAGAGCCAAAGTGTACTGATCAATCTGTTTTTCTGCATCTCTTGAAGCTCAGAGAGTTTCTTGGTCCGATTATCCATGCCTTAGGCTGGGTAGACACCAGAGATATGGTGGCTGATGGGCTCAACAAGGGCATAATCAGTCGAGATGCCTTGCGAACGCTAGCACAGACTGGCGAGTGGCATGTTTCACATCAACCAGAGATACATGTACAGAGGTCTGGTAAAGTATGAGGCCTGGAGAGCAGCAGAACGGCAACTAGAAGATCTAAGCATAGACAACCCGAGTTAAGATGTAGGCGAGCCTACTTGTCCACCTGCAGGTCCCACTTGTGCGCTGTGCTGTACGTATGCCATCTGCGGCTTTTCCAAGCCTCGAGGCCGATCATTCTTTGCAGTATTTAATTGGAGATCCTTGTAAAGCTCATCTCTCATTCAGCCTTTCAGGCATTACTTTTGCAAGCAGAACTGTGCATCAGACAGGACATCGTTCATGAGCCGATCCAGGGAAAAGGGAGTTGCAGCCATGGTCAATCGCATTACGCTGCATCATTCCTCCGCGAACCAAGATTTCAACTTCTACCAGCTGATGTAACTGCAGATCAAGCCGAGGATGCAGAAGACTTTCTGGAATTCACCATCCGAGAGAAAGGCTCCGGGCTTTGGGCAGAGGACGGGTCTCGACCCACTAGGCAAGGCAGCCATATTCGGGGCGCTTGGAAGAGAGAGAGAGTGCGGAATTGACAAAAGGGAAGGCAAAGCCAAGCAAGCCATCCTAACATGCGGGAGCCCAAAAACTGCAAAACAGTACTACTATAGGTATACAAACGCAAAACTAATAGAATGATGGCTTCAGGACTCGAAGGTGGGGACGGCGCACGTGAATGTCTCTGCTTTGGCACGCCTGGTGGCTTCACTGCATCTTTGACGAGCCTTTTAACGGGATATGGACAGCAAAATCAGGAGAGCTTGAGCCCGGTTCGATATAGTTTTGTCCTGTATGTGTATAGATGACTGCAGCTGATTTTATATATATATATATGTATATATATATATATCTATGAATATATAGATATAGATACTACGGTGTGTACTCTATACTATATACTATACAAAAGTAGCTGTACATAGGACTACTACACTCTGCGCCGCCTCTTTTTGGTCTCCCTGTGAGCTGAAGGCGCACTTCCGCGGGCCACTGCACGCGAGGGGCTAAGAGCCGGCCGGAAGTTGCCCCCAAAGGAGGCTTTAGGGGTTTAGGATATTTAGGGGTTAAGGGGTTTAGGATATTTAGGGGTTAAGGGGTTTAGGATATTTAGGGGTTAAGGGGTTCAGGATATTTAGGGGTTTAGGGGCTTAGGGGCTTTCGGATAGTGCTATTGCTAAACTCCTCTGAGTTTGTAGCCACGGGTGCAAGACTGCACAGGGGTCGTAGGTTTAGGCTTTCAGTGGTTAGTGTGTTCAGAGTGACTGCTTCCAAGGTCTTCCGCCGTGGGACTGAGAAGGACCGCTGCTGTCTCCGCATGCGAGTTTCAATAGAGATGGGGGATTATTGCTCAGTGGCATGGACCTCCAATATTGGATTCTTGATTTCAGGAATTTCAAGGTCCCAGCCCCCTCCCCTCCACACCACCTCAACAAAAAGGAAAAAACGTCCAGAAAGCCAGACGCCGAAGCAAAGCTGGTGCCTTGAATAAGGGACCCCTCGAATCTCAGAACGTCAGATCCACCGTTCTCCTGACAGGCTGGTGAGCTGGTGGTCGATCTCCTGGCAAAGGACACTGGATGCCAGCTGACCGAGAGGTTTGTTGAACGCCTTTTCCTTCAGATTCGGAGGAGATATCGCCGATGGGTCCTGCAAAGCTCCTGCAGCCTGCTTTGGTGACGCTGAGTTGCAGCATCTGTTTTTCAGAGGCTTGATGCCATGCCCCTGGCGAAGTCAGATGAGAAGCTGCAGCTAGTTGCTCCAACCAGTGTAGCACATGGTCGACATGGTACTACGTGTCCATGCGCTCCCTGCCTACCGACTTGTTGCCTTCTTTGCTGGCCAGAACCAAGGCGAACGCTAGTCACTGTCAAAAGAACATGGCTGAACATGCTGCCATATGTACTTCGGGGATGAAATGCTCGTTCTCGTAAGCCTCAGTTCACTGATGGAACTTCCATCACTGCCACAACCCACGAAGTTGCCGCATTTCTCCTGACACCATGCCTCAGGGTCGTGCAGGTGGGGTGGCGAAGGGAACGGGTTGTGATTGAAGAATCCGGCGCGGAGTGTGGAGGATGGGAGCAGCTGTGCAGAGTCGGCGGTGTTTCGTTGTGCAATGAGTGCCGCAGAGCCAGAGCGAGCTTTTTACGCTCAGCTTCTGGACGTTGTGTTGACAAGCAGGAGCCAAGAAAAACTGTGCTGAACAGCAGCCAAAAACCAGCGCAGAGGAAAACAGCTCTGAAGAAGAAGAAGAAGAAGCGAGAAGGATCTGATGAAGTGCTGCAGGCCCTCAGCCTCTCTCCTCAGCAAGAGCCGTTGGTTCTGCCAATATGCGCGCGACTTGAGAGTTTCACCGAGGAAAGTCCACAGCAACGGGCTGATGGGGGCCGTGGCAGCCGTCGCAGCATCTCGTGCTACGACTAGCAACAGTTTGACAGTTGTCAAAGTGTGCGGTAATTGGGCTGTTGTGTTGGGGATGCAGCGGAAAGGATTTCGAAGCGCTGGACATCTTCAAGACGTATCACATCGTGCTCTGGGCGCCGCTTGGCCGGGAATGCGGTTGTTTTTCGGAGCTCATTGCTCCTGAAGCCCACCACTGCGGCGGCCCCTGAGTACCTCGGAGAAGTTCGGCGACATGTTCAACTCCAACTGGGATGAGCCGCGTGCCCAGTCGCTAGAACAGCAGCGCATAGGATGACGTCAGATCTGCACAGGTTCGCCTGGAAAATGTAGGATTTTCAGGCCTCAGTCCGCCTTCAAAGCTGCGATGGCTAACGGAGTTGATAAGATGGCTTAATACAACTGGATAACTCAGATGCAAGAGGCTGTGGCACTGATGGCTCCAGGACCAAAGTTTGTACAGTCGCTTACTGCAGCGATCCCATCGCATATTATGTAGGCTAGGGCTAGTTGCAGTGCTTCTCAGATTCTCGGCAAGAGGTGAACCTTTGTTTGTGGTCATCGGGCGGTTGACAAGCAGCGCCCTTGACTTTCCAGCATGAGCCTGTCGCCCGAGCTCAGCATCGCGCTCCAGCGCATAGCCGCTTGCAATAAAAGCGAGCGCTTGCTAATGGTGGTACGCAACGACTTGATCAAAAGTTTGCAAGCGGGGCAGACCGCAGTGGCTTATGCACATGAAGCGTGGATGCAGCTTGAGCGGTTGGGTGCGGACCATCGGGAGGTTGGTCGGTTTCGTCGATAGGGACAAGTTGCACAAGGCCTTCAACGACTCCAAGCTGCTGATGCGTACAGAGTGGTGTGGCAAGCTATGGGTCGTTTCCGCACGATGCCGGACACGCAGGTCATCATGGACTACCTGGCGGTCATCGTCGACAGCGACAACACGCGGCTGAGCCAACTTCGGAACGCCTACTACAAGGTGCGCGACTAGCGGGATTCGGGACCTCTTGATTATAGGAAGACCGAACTCAATTTCGTGTGGATCCAGTGCAATATCCCCAAACCGACACCCGTGCTTCATGTAGAATAGGTGTGGAGAATCCGTTGTACCAACATCGATACGCCTGTCACATGTCAGCCCTCGGTTTTGTAAGCGTTTCCCTCGCTCAGGTACTGTCTGATGTCGTTGCTGAGGTGATGGCGAAAAACTATAGCTGGGAGAAGTTCGCCAGGAATGTGTGCGGCAATGTTGAAGATGAAGACATGCAGGGCGTCCTTATGAACCTAATCAGGCCGTCTGGTGGATCTCAGCGAGCAGAGCTTCTACGCGAGCTTGATGGAAGTGCCCTTCATCGTCAGCGATGCTCTCTCGAAGACGCGGCCAGAATCCCAAGCGCAGCTGCCGAACGGCGAACCACTGTCCTGTGGGTGCGCCGTGAGCCCACCGCACTTATTGCCACGACGCAGAGAGTTTCAAAAAGAGGAGCTGCAGGTCATCGACTTTGGTCACGAGACGCATGAGCAGTCATCAGTCACACAACAGGTCAGGACAGCAGTTCGGCCTCTCTGTCGTTCGCAGTAGAACTTTTTAGCCGTCGCCGTAGTCGAAGAAGTTCGGAGAAATCAGGTTGGGCATTGAATCTTGACGCATCTTTTCTCCCGCATAGAGCCCCAGCCTCAGGGAGCACAAGAAGCTGTTCAAGGATCCGCTGAAAAAGGCAAGGGGCACATGTTCTGAACGGAGTTGGGTTGCATGGAGCCGTCTGTCAGGTGGTTCAGGCTGAGCACGCATCACTTTACAGCAACACAGCAGCAATGGACGACAGAAGCACTTCAATACATGTTCGGCCCTTCCGAAGCCGAAGACGTGTTCAGGTGATGGAGTTTGTCCGCATTTCACATACTGGGGCGGGAAGCGCAACGAGAGAGCAACGCTGGGAAGAGGCCACTTCGGTCGTCGTAGTGTCGTATAGTATCGCTCCACCATGAATGCCGTGGTTCTTCTGACGTTTTCGTAGTGAATCGCTGCTTATCCACATTTCGGGCGCTCCAGGTAATGACTTCTTGTCACTGCTGGGAAATGGAGTTCGCAAGGGACGGAGGCTCGATACCTGACTCTCAGCCTGTTGCTGAACTTCCATGGGTTGGTTTCGCAGCACCAGGCGCGTGTACACATATGTGGTGCTGGACGAAGGGATGTTCTTTTCAGACACCTGACTGCAAGCGAAGATGAGTTCAATGCTCCGAACTCGTGCCAAAGTGACAAGGAGACGGGTGCCAACATTGCGAAAGACTTCTTCAGCATCTTGGCACGGAGTTCTTTGTTGATGGCTGGTGTGCAGAATCCCATTGAGTTGACATCCAAGGCAAGCATGCTGTGCATGCAAATGCTTCACCAGAGGCCACCTTGGTTGCAGGGCCATGCACACATCAATCCACGTCTGGGTGGGCAAATTCGCCCCTTCAACAGTTTGATGAAGCCGCTTCTCTCGCAAGGTTCGCATGGCGGGAACATTCCGCATGTGCGAGACGCCAGAGCGCGCGCTCATCCTTTTCCTGGACAATGACTCCGGCACCTATCGTCCGCCTGATTCTTACCCTAAACATGTGGGTGATATGAGCAGAGATTTTATTGAACACAAAGCCTAAAGCACTTCATGGGTATTAGTTCTCATGCCGGGTGGCCGCTGGCTCGCAGCATCCCCGTGCATGGGCAAGTTCATCACAGGTCCCGGCAGCTCGCACCCGTTATGAATCCATGTGCTAGGACGAGTACCTGTTGGAACTTGGCTTGTCGTTTAGACTACAGAGCTTGTGGCTTGCGTGAGTTTTCAATCGTGACAAGCTTGAAAGTCTGATGGTCCTGCGCCTGTGCCCTAAACCGATGATTAGTGATTAGAGACAGAGCAGGGAACCCGATTCTCTCGTGAAGCCAGCAATAAGACACAGAGCGAAGAGCGGCAATAGCATCTCTTGATGCAGACCCATACGGACAGGGAAAGGCGCCATGAACGCGGCCCCTTTCCGAGTCCGACAGGCGCACGCATACGAGCCGTGAGCGCAGGCATTGTTGACTTTCCGTCACATCTGGAATTATTGGTTTCGTGATAGACTAGACTTTGGCGTGTGATGTGCAACCTGCTAGCATGAGCACGCATGCCGTAATGCCACTGAGGGACCGTCAGGCTTTCCCTACATAAGATGCATGACACACATAGCAGACAGAGTTGCATGCAGTCACGATCAGGCATGCATGGGCATACGTTCCGGCACCTCGGCATCCGCGCACGTCCATTCACACTGACTGGACTCGGACCCGCTCGTCGCAGGTGCCATTTCTTGCAATCGTAAATTACATTTGCCCTTCAGAGAACTTAAACCCAAAACCCGCAAACCCTAAAGTCTCCACATGTCAGTGACCTTTGGATCAGAGGACAAGGTCACTGCACCACAGCATCGACCCGCAATCACTCACCAACATCACCTGTCTTTCCCCTCCTTTGACTTTGGGAGCGATTTGGCACTCTGATAGTGAAGGAACGGCGATGATAGCAGGTTTATCCCAGTGTACGGAGATTATAAGATCCCTTCTTGTTTCATCACACCACAGCAGCGCAGCAGCACACAGCTGATTTCATCATGGGGGGCTCTCGCGATCTGCTCGGAGATGGACGGCTGCTGAAGAGAGTGGAGTTGGAAGGCGCGGGACCTTCACCCCAAAAGGGCGACCGCGTCCAGGTGCGATACGAGACGCGGCATCAGGGAAAATGCGTGGAATCCATGGCGGAGGAGGCTTTCGAGTTCGTCCTTGGAGAAGACCAGGCCACTTTTTTGCAGTTTTTCCCAAAGCACAGAAAACGGCATCCCGAAAAGCCAGATCTCCCAAGAGCGCTGTCATCTTGCATTGGCCGTGGCCCCTAAAGCCCTAGAAACCCCCTTTTTTGCCTCGAAAACCCGAATGCCTCGAGTGGAGTGTCAGAGCGTGAGCGCCGAAACCCTCAAGAAAGGCCCTGAAGATGGGTAGTTGTCTTACATTGGGGTCCCTTTTTTTGGGGGGTCCCCAATATAATAGTACGGTCCCCAATATAATAGTACGGCACTTTGATTGAAAAGGACCCTCAAAAAGGGACCCTACTTTAGGGAAGTACAGTGCCCAAAAAGCTGAGGTGCTGGAGGCCTGGGACCTGGGGGTGGCCACGATGCGGCCAGGTGGGGGTTTCCGAAGATAGGAGGACCCTAAAAAAGTTCACCCAAAATAGTAGGTTCCTTATTGTAAGGACCCCAAAATAAGGTACCCTTATTTTCGGGACCCTAAAAAAGTACCCCCAAATAGTAGGATCCTTTTT